CTTACTTCTTCCTTGCAAAGGATCGGTAATACAGTCGTCATTTTCCAAATTTACGACCCCCTCACCATCGAAATTTTACGCTCCCCTTCACACCTCGCCATCATAGCGTTTTTATAGTATTTCTATAGTATTTATTTGAGATTCAGTCGACCAAATAATCCCATTTCCACGTCGAACGAGGGGGGTTACTGAACAGCAAATTTTCTCGACTCCTTCATACTACACGCTAAATCACCCATAATTCTTACATTAACACCCAACTCCATCTAGCACCAAAGTAGACCGCCTCTTGTACTTGTGCAATAACAGGATGACCTGTTGCATAGGTGTTTTATTGAGGATCGTAGGCATAATTATCTTATTGTCTTGGCTATTTTAATTGCTAGTATATTCGTTTGTACTTGCTTTTTGAAAAAAACGTGTTAATTGCTTATGAAGCATACAATACCGCTACTAATTTTTGTTTCAATCGACGGTTTGCGACGGTCGGAAACCGTCGCAAACCGTCGGCTCGCCATAACTCTTTAAAAAATGGTTCGCTCGACCTGCAGTTTATACCATCTGATAGCTCTGCTCGAGATCTACAAGATGGTATTAATTCTGAGATCTCTATCATAGAAAATTGACGCCATGCACTCACAAAATAAATAGAAATGATATATATATAACATATAACCTGATCATCCCACAGAAACATGGATCTCAACACCCTCAGAATACGCCACGTACCCAACCGGTCCACCATATGGTGAGATTGAATGAATGTTTTTTTTTCGAATTTCACGATCTTTAATTCGTTCTAGAGCGCTAATTGGCTAACACCGTGCGCGCTGATCAAACAACCATTCATTATTTTTATTTTTTTTATCTTCCACTCCAAATGAGAATCTCTTGAACAGTTTCCAGCAGTAGTAGTAGACCTATTATGTGACATTCCCCACATTTAGAGGAGATGATTTGCGGAAACCTGAGAAGATAGCCAGGAATCTTTCCACAGACGTAGACTCCAGTTACTTCTCTGTAAGATTGATGTAGAATATTTGGTCACGGGTAAGCGCTCCGTCCGTGGTGTGGCCCCAAACATCACTCTCCGTCATGCCCTAAAATGAAAATCAGAGTTTTTGCTCTTCCAGATGACTCTACAGAGCTGAGGGGTGCACCGTTCGATTTCCCATGAAAAATACTACCGAATGGTGTACAACTCAGGTTTCACACAAAACTTTGTTTTTCTCACTTTTTTGCTCCCCATTGCCGATCGTCCTCCCAGCCCTTGGCGCCACGTGCGATTTAGCGAGAAATTCTCTCCACCGACGTGGACTCCGGTCACTTGTCTGTAGGAAAGAGGTAGAAATTTGGTCACGGGTAAGCTTTCCTTCCGTGGTGTGGCCCCAAACATCACTCTCCGTCATGCCCTTAAAATAAAAATCAGATTTTTTGCATTTCCAGATGAACTCGCAGACCTGAGATGTGCCCCATTGGATTCCCCGTGAAAAATGCTATCGAATGATATGCATTACTCCTCCCAGTTGAAACTTTGGTTTTTCACCGTTTTCAGCCTTCCCCTATTGCCAATTGGCATCATTATTCCACTATTACTGCCCCAAAATCTCAAAGTTTCATTTTTCGTCGAAACTTTGCCTATTGGGGTAATTCGATGCCCTGATTACGAATATGACATTCATTCTCGTAGTGTGGCCCCAAACATCACACCTCGCCCCATTTTTTGCGACATGTTCCATGTTTAGAGCAGATGTTATGTAGAAAGCTGTGAAGGCAGCGACGAATTTCCTTTACTGGCGTAGACTACGTATTTCTGTAGGAATTCTAAAACTTTGGTGCGGTAGATCTTCTTCCGTAAATGGCGACCAATCACACTGTCGTATGCCTGCGATAATGATCAGATTTCTTGTTCTCTGATGAACTGAACTGAGATGTGCACCATTCAATTCTCCATAACAAATACTGTCGAACGGTATACAACTCACTTTTTGGAGAACATCTAGTTTACCTGCCACTAGATCCATTTTGTGACATTTCGCAATTTTCGAAGGGATGTTTTGAGGAAATTCGAGAAGGGAGGGACGAACTCTCTTCCCTATCGTAGAGTAAGTTTACTTGTATGTTGGAAAAAGATGATACACTCGGGCTTGAGCGAGTGTTTCTTCCCTGGTGTGGCCTCAAACATCGCTCTCCGTCATGCCCTGAAATAAAAACCAGATTTTTTGGTCTTCCCAGGTGGCTCTACGGAGCTGTGGTGTACACCGTTCGATTCTCCATGCAAAATGCTATCGAACGATATACATCTCAGTTCCCACTTGAAACTTTCGTTTTTCACCGTTTTCGGCCTTTTCCTTATCGCCGATCGCCTTCCTCAGCCCTGGCCACCCACGTGCTATTCACGTGCGCGGTGCGTGGTGACTTTCCCACGCACTTTCGACACGCATAGCGGTGTATCGATCGGGCTGCCCGCCAGCTACCGAGAAAGGCCATCGGCTGTCACGTGAGCTCTCACGCTCGCGCACGTGAATAGCACGTGGGTGGCCAGGGCTGAGGAAGGCGATCGGCGATAAGGAAAAGGCCGAAAACGGTGAAAAACGAAAGTTTCAAGTGGGAACTGAGATGTATATCGTTCGATAGCATTTTGCATGGAGAATCGAATGGTGTACACCACAGCTCCGTAGAGCCACCTGGAAGACCAAAAAATCTGGTTTTTATTTCAGGGCATGACGGAGAGCGATGTTTGAGGCCACACCAGGGAAGAAACACTCGCTCAAGCCCGAGTGTATCATCTTTTTCCAACATACAAGTAAACTTACTCTACGATAGGGAAGAGAGTTCGTCCCTCCCTTCTCGAATTTCCTCAAAACATCCCTTCGAAAATTGGGAAATGTCACAAAATGGATCTAGTGGCAGGTAAACTAGATGTTCTCCAGAAAGTGAGTTGTATACCGTTCGACAGTATTTTTATGGGGAATTGAATGGTGCACATCTCAGTCTTCTATGTTCATCTGGAGAACCAAAAAAATCTGATCATATCGCAAGGGCATGACGAGGTGTGATGTTTGGGGTCACACTACGGAAGGAAGACTCACCTGCCACCAAGGTTTCTATGTAATTCCTACAGACAAGTGACCGTAGTCTACGACAGTAAAGGAAATTCGTCGCTGCCTTCACAGCTTTCTACATAACATCTGCTCTAAACATGGAACATGTCGCAAAAAATGGGGCGAGGTGTGATGTTTGGGGCCACACTACGAGAATGAATGTCATATTCGTAATCAGGGCATCGAATTACCCCAATAGGCAAAGTTTCGACGAAAAATGAAACTTTGAGATTTTGGGATAGTAATAGTGGAATAATGATGCCGCAATTGGCAATAGGGGAAGGCTGAAAACGGTGAAAAACCAAAGTTTCAACTGGGAGGAGTAATGTATATCATTCGATAGCATTTTTCACGGGGAATCCAATGGGGCACATCTCAGGTCTGCGAGTTCATCTGGAAATGCAAAAAATCTGATTTTTATTTTAGGGCATGACGGAGAGTGATGTTTGGGGCCACACCACGGACGGAGCGCTTACCCGTGACCAAATATTCTACCTCTTTCCTACAGACAAGTGACCGGAGTCCACGTCGGTGGAGAGAATTTCTCGCTAAATCGCACGTGGCGCCAAGGGCTGGGAGGACGATCGGCAATGGGGAGCAAAAAAGTGAGAAAAACAAAGTTTTGTGTGAAACCTGAGTTGTACACCATTCGGTAGTATTTTTCATGGGAAATCGAACGGTGCACCCCTCAGCTCTGTAGAGTCATCTGGAAGAGCAAAAACTCTGATTTTCATTTTAGGGCATGACGGAGAGTGATGTTTCGGCCACCACGGACGAGCACTTAATCGTGACAATATTATTACATCAATCTTACAGAGAAGTAACTGGAGTCTACGTCTGTGGAGAGATTCCTGGCTATCTTCTCAGGTTTCCGCAAATCATCTCCTCTAAATGTGGGGAATGTCACATAATAGGTCTACTACTACTGCTGGAAACTGTTCGAAGATTCTCATTTGGAGTGGAAGAATGGGTTGATCAGCGCACGGTTAGCCAATTAGCGCTCTAGAACGAATTAAAGATCGTGAAATTCGAAAAAAACATTCATTCAATCTCACCATATGGTGGACCGGTTGGGTACGTGGCGTATTCTGAGGGTGTTGAGATCCATGTTTCTGTGGGATGATCAGGCTGCATAGGAGGACTTATATGCGCATCACATACAAAGTATATTCATTACTTCTCGGGATGGAGGTCGAGTGCATGGCGCAATCCTAGATGGAGCTCTTTCAGAAATTGAATTTAACCATCTTGTAGATCTCGAGCAGAGCTATCAGATGGTATAAACTGCAGGTCGAGCGAACCATTTTTTAAAGAGTTATGGCGAGCCGACGGTTTGCGACGGTTTCGACCGGAAACCGTCGATTGACAAAATTAGTACGGTATTGGTCTTCAAGCATACTACGTAGTTCGCAAGAACGGTCCAACAAAAGAATTGAATTTTGAAGGACGAATTCCTATGGAGGGAACTCATTTCAAATGACTTTATGGTGGTGAGTAGTAAAGAAAGAGGAAAACTTGAGAAACGGTCCAGTTCCCATGAGGGCTTCCCCGTTGATTGTGAATGTGCGACGCACTACGCTGTGCCTCTTCATACAGTAACTAGCTCTCTGCTTCTATATCGCCGCGTATAAACTACGGCGAGCGATCAGCTGTCGGTGGGCGTTCTGCCAACGCGGCAGATTGTAGCTTATTCGGTCGCCTGTGGTCAGGCTTCGACAGTTGCGCTTCAGTTCGCCTTCAGGCCGAGGGTCCTCACTGGTGAATTATCTTCTTCGACCTTCATTCTAATCGTGAATTCGTCCTTTCAATAGATATGAGACAAGAATTATGAGACAACCCAATACTAGTTAGATTGGTCTGCTTTTTCCACATGAATCCCTAATTTCGACGTTATAGGAGCCTTTCCCATGGAGACGACTACCACGAGAGCTGCAGATAAAAGTCCTTCAGGAGCTCGTCAGAGGTGATCTAGACAGATGCCAGTTAGTGAACAGGGATATGTTCAAGCTTGTTCAAAACCAATGGGCGCTTCTTGAAAAGACGATCTATCAACACTTTGATGATCAAAATGGTGCGTTACATGAAATATTCGATCATTCAATAGAAATCAGCTATCAACAGGTGTATTACTTTTTTCTTCTGCTTTTTTTTACCTCACAAAATGTTCCCAGAAAAGACATCATCAGTTGATTTTGTGTTGCAGATCACCGGTAAGGCGGTTGAGTTGTACGCAAAATGTTCCGGAGAAAGCTGGTCTGTGTTGTCGGTTAGTTAAGCTCTATCTTCTTTTTGTTAGACCATTTGAAAAGAAAAATCTTTGGAAAAATGGAAGCGCAAGTTTTCTGACTTTCGATAAAAGTCACAAGAACAGTGAAACTTTCTTAAAGGACACAACCCAGTATCAGTTTAGGCGGATGATTGCTTTTAGTGGGTAGTAGTGTTGTTTACGGAAGTGCAGATGCCCTACCTCTAAAGTGTGCTACAAGGACACTAGGGTCTTACAAAAATCGGTGCTAACTTAGTTGGGGGGGGGGGGACCACGCGGCGGCGCGGCGCTCTGTTCGTCTGCTCCTCCAAGGCTTAGTCCGCCGATGGCGCGTATTTCGAAACTGCCACGTGGCGACGAAATAGTAACTGCCCCTTGGACTAAGCCTTAGAGGAGCAGGACGAACAGAGCGCGTGCTACGCATGGGTTCCCTCCAGCGCCGTAGCTACGCGTGGTTCCTCCCCAACCAACTAAGGTTACCCAAAATCTTGTCGTGCAGCGAGCTAGTGTCTGCGCTCTCTCAACCGTTGTACTCTCTCGCCTCTCATCTACTTCGTTCTCACTCTCTCGTTATCTCAGCCGCTATCACTCTCATTAACTCAGGTATAAAAGAGACGAAACCCTGCGGTGGGGGGGGGGTGAACGTGTCCGAAGAGGAGTAATTCTCCATTTTCCACAATATTCTCCATTTTGCTGTTTTCTTATGATTTTGCTAAACCGCAAAACCCCTCCAAGAACGTATTTTCCCTGTCGTCAGTAAACGACCGCCTTCACTTTCAACACCGTAAATACTCCCTCGCCCTCTCTGAATCGCTTAAAGCCCCTTCCCTTTTCCCCTCCAACACCGCCTGTTAGATATTGATACCAGTGGATAGTACTGGGATTGAACCATAATTTCTGTCCGAATTTCAACATTTTCAATTTTTTATCTTTCCTAAAAAATAATTGATCAAAAAATATAACCACCATCATAATCACTGATATGCACCCATTTGCTAGGGAACGAATGGATGCATTCCTCCCAGAACGAGAGAAGCTGTGAGATGAAAAGCTCGGAAGAGGTCGTTTTTGGGGTGGTTGTATTTACTGACTTTTTTCTCTCCTAGCTGCTGCTTCAGGGAGCTGGGGAGGTGATAGTACGATGGAGTAATGTCAGGGCTATACGACAGATGTGGTGTCGTGGTCCAGCCAGTTTCCCTCAAAACTTTGCGCGAGCTATCCTTGCGATTCGAGACCGGGCTTTCATTTAGAGGAAGGAGATTTTGACACCTTTCAAACCCTTCCGCACTGCGACGGCCATTGGGGGTTATGTTCATGAGTCCTTTAGCAATGGTGTCATGCATATTCAGTAGATGGTGGTTTCATAACGAGCGTACCCTGTGAATGCAACAAAATTTGGGGCGGTATCTCGACGAAAGAGCTCGGGCTTCGGCTGAGATTGTGGGTACAGGGCGTGCCGCGTTTTGTTATCGTGGTGGACTCATGACTCATCCGCACTGGTGACCAAATAGGGGAACCCTTGTCTATGCGGTCGCGGAATGAAACAGTCGCAGATGGTCAGACATGCCTCTCAGCCATGGTCAGTCGATGCATGCTGTTTTTCGTTCTAGACTTTCATTCTGCTGCCAGCAGAGTCAACCCTGCGTTGCGCAGTTCTCAACGGCCACGTTGCGCAGTTTCGCCCGATTAGACACGTTCTCTCGCGCGAACATTCACACTCGCATGCTCGAGCCGTCTGTGTCTCCGCCCATACAGCGTGCGTTGAGGATCTCTCAACGTGCCGTTGCGAACTGCGCAACGCAGGGTTGACTCTGGGCCTGCAGCCCGTTGCAAGTAGGTGGCGCTTCATGGAGCATAGCGCTGCGTTTCTTGTCTTGCTACAGTTTCGTGCTATACGACCGGAGGCGCTCCTACGGCTTGCGCAAAGGGGTCCCGTAGAGAAGTTACTGGACGGTTCCATGATGACGTAGAACTTGCAGCTCCGTAGTCCTTACTGAGCAACGGCTTCGAGTGCCGATTCAATAGTGAAGACTGCTGAACGTTAGCGCTGGATCTTTTCCTGCCCGCCTCCTTGCAACGAATTCTTGCTTAAATATCTGTTCAGGCATTAATAAATAGGGGGTTGATCGTTGATCTATTTTGATTCCTACTTAATTATCCCGTTGCGCATTTGAGCTTCTGAAATCATCCTGGCTGAAGGTCCTGATGTGTTCTTCAACATATCAACTTATTTCATTATGAAGCTAATTTGACATGAAGAAAATTGAATTTGAACCAAAATCGGCCAGAAATTATGGATCAACCCAATACTTTTCCTTGTTCTTACTGTAGCCGCACCTCCACCAGGGTCGGTCCTATCGTTGCTACTTTTCAAAAAGTTTTTACGACCCCCCTCCCTCATGAAATGTTTCATACGACCCCCTCTTTCAAAACAATTTTTACCCGAAAAATTACTCGAGCGAGGGGGGAGGGTATATACTTCCATAAAACCGCAAAAATTCCCTACATTTTCAATACAATGTATTTCAATCCTATTTTCAACTACTCTAGGGGGGGGGGCGAAGCAAGTACGACCCCACTCTACAAATTCACCAAAATACGACCAACCGTTGCTACTTGTAGCAACATAGGGTTGACCCTGCCTCCCACCCATGCCTTCATTTTCGGTTGTAGGCGCCGTGCAGACCACTTTGATTCATGGGCCTTTTGTTTCAACAATTCTGTGCGCTACAACTTTCATTACTTTTTTGCTTGCCCAAAAGCTTCAGGATATTTTTGCAATCGTACTACTTCAAACAAAATGGCTCTCTGTGGCGGGGGGCGGGGATCAAGAACGCCGACATAATCCACTTGCAGATCACAGGTGAGCAAAAGGGTGTTCACTTTTCATGGACTTTTTGAAACTCATAAACGAGCTCATTTATTCAACGGTCAGAATTTGCACTATAACCTCCCCTTCAAAAAGCCAGAAAGTGTCGGGTGCAGACCATACACCACAAGTGACGACGGCCTCCAGAAAATGCAAATGTTTTTGCCAATGAAATGATTAACCTGTTGCAGTTGTATTCGATCAGTTGACACTAATTACAACTATCATTTACTAAAAATCAGCTATCACTATGAACCACTACTAACCAGATTTACTTGGAGGCCGTCGTCACTTGTGGTGTATGGTCTGCACCGCACAATTTCTGGCTTTTTGAAGGGGAGGGTACCTTTCACTGCCTGACTCCTCAAGAACCGAGTCGGATTTCAAATGAAATTAGTCTCTATCGAGGATTTGGCTAGAAAGTTGCCTTTGGGGTATCTCTACCGTAGAACACGAATTTTATATCATTTTATCGCGAAAATTCCTGGTGTCCGCGCCACGACGCTATCACAACCGTCTGCACGGAACCCGTGTTTAGCGCTCGATTACAGGCTCACCTGTAACAAAACTAATGTGATTTACAGATGGGGGGGGGCAATTAAAAAGAAAGACATTTGTTTTTTTTTCCACATTCAGATGGATTTTAAGCACACAATTTTATTCATTTTCATTTTCATTTTCAACCGAATGTCTCAACTTATTATTAAAGAGCGCATTCCATTCTACAAGAAAATCTTCATGGGGCCACCTACGTGGACGGCATCAGAAGAATTTGCCCTGGAAACATGGTGCACTGGTCGAGCTCAATGGGGTCTTCGAAGGATCGTGTACCATAACGACCCTTACTGGAAAGCTAGTTCCGAGGGGATTTGCACAGTGGTAGCTAATGCCTCTAGAAAACTATCCAACATTAAATCGATTCACGAAATTGCGTAAGAGCTTCAGGCTGAAGCTCTTACGGTAGACCTCCTTGAGCCTGACGACGGTGACAGATGACGTCATATTCTGAAGACGGTGAGGGCAGTGAAGGAGAGCCTGCGTACACTAATAGAGGATATTAAAGAAGTATTTTTAGGCTGAGGCAAGGACCGTCAACTTACGGCGCAGTCTCTTGTGAAGCGAAAGCGGCCGAAGTCGACATCGGGCCAAAATATTCTTCCCCCCCCCCCCCCTGTACATTTGACGGGCGTTCTAAGTTAATCATGTGGAAAAGTCTCCAGCAAATTGGTTGCTCCAATGGCGCGTGGTGGGGCATCAAGCGCTTTCGCGCTTAACGAATGTGGTATTCGTATTCTATAGGTCAAACTACCTCCGGGGGCAACTTTTTAACTAAATCCACATCCATGGCAAATTTTCATATTAAAAAGTCACCCATCGGATCAGCTATTATACGCGAAGTAGTTAGGAGATGATCCCAAGAGCGCTTCATCGCGCGGCGAAGGAAGGAATAGCAGACGCACGGAGGGACGCGCTCGCAGTCGGCAGTGCTCGTGCCGCAGGTTGGAATAGCAGAAACCGTATGGTACACACTACTTGACCTGACGCCTAACCGCTACAGCATGCGCTGCGACTCGTCCTTTGCCGCTTCTGCGTCTCTTCCCTTCGCCGCGCGATGGGCCTCTTGGGGGACACCCGAGGGGGTTGAGCAGTAAAGGGTTTAGTTTGCTCATCGAGATTGACCTGATTTGTTGGCTAATGCTCTAGATTTTTAGGCACGTTTGAAGTCTCGTTTTCTGCAGAGACTTTCGTCATGTCTGCTTGATGCGGGCTGTCGAGTATATCAGTTGTCGATAACTCGTTCCTCTACGGAATCATCTTCGCCTTCTGTTCTTCTTCAGTTCCTTCACGACGTCAATCCAGCAGCCATCTACATTGACGGAATTCACTCCTGGAATAGCTTTAGCCAGGAAATTCTTCAGTTTATCGTAACAAGAGAACACCTCCACATACCCTGTTTCCAAAATTATCCCATCCCGATAGACGACAATATTCTCGCTCAGCTCACCGCTCCTTTCTTCTTCATCGGCGTTCCCAACATGATCACGCTCGATGGTTTGCGCTCATTTGTCGAGGTCAGTTCAAAGCCTTTCTTTGCATTGGGAACAGCAAGATTTGTGATATCTTTCAGAGTCTGGCTAGCGGAGAGAAAAAGGTGGAATACGGTACAATTCACACGGATTTCTTCATAAATGATGCATTAGTTCCCAGTGCTCCGAATATTGTGAAAGTAATAACGGGAGGTTTTTGTATTGGCCTAGCCACTGAGAGGCCGACCACGATGAGATGAATGACTTACATGATTAATCCAAGACTTATTCAATATTACGCTTCATGATCATTGTTGTACAAATAGAGTAAGAGTTACATATTTCTGTGTTAGCATATTTTGATAGGAGAAATAAAATATTCGACCTGATATTCTATGATTAACTGAGTTTTGTTCCAATTCTTACCTTAAAGGCACTAGTCGGTATTGAAATGATGCGTTATTTTGTATGAAAATGGGCGAGGGGTGGAATGCGGACATTAGTGGCGAACAAAGAACATCATAGAGACCACTAACCCGTTAAAGACCGCGTGCATCAACGAGGACACAGAGTTCCAGCAGAGGGAAAAACGAGAAGTAAATAGCACCCAGAAGGAGAGAGTGTATGGCGCTGTTTGAAGATGACGCGGCGCACCAAGCCGCGCCCTATCATTGTCCACACTTTACCACGGTGTCGTCTCTTCCTTGCAGATCTACTTTTTCGGAGTGGCATTGGAAGCAATCGCCCGCCTCGTGGCTTAACTCACATGTTTACGCATCAAATTTGATGACGGTCGAGAATCTCGATCGCTCTGTCTAGAACCGCGAGAGAGTGAATGTACGACGGAGGCGCAGACCCTCACGGTGAATGAGAGTGAATTTGCGTGAGCGAAGGAACTCTCGATCTCGACAAGTTTCCGACGATACCGAAACCAATGTTCAACACTCAGCACGATTGGAGACTGCTCAAGAAGAATGTGAGATGTTATAGCATTTTTTGTGATTATCCGATAACTGCAGCATATGTTGAATGATCCTAAGGCGACCCTGCTTCAGTTCGAGGCACGGAATTGCTGAAATTATCGGCCACGACGAACAACAAAAAAGACAGGCAATCCCTGAACTCTATTTGAAATTTGAGAACTTTTGCTCTTCACACCGCTGCGCAACTCACTTCCACTCTCCACGATGAATAACAACAGTGGAAGTCCTTGGGTACGTAAGGGATATTAGGTGAGTACACCGACACGTGCAGAGTTGGTGACTAGCTAACTACTCTCCATCTGCGAAAACTATAAAGTAACAGATGCACTCAGAAGCTATTTGACTAATACTCGGACCAACTGTCTTCAGATACGACTTGGGATTGCTAGCCGAATGCACTATTATTCAATACTATGAGTAATCTGTCACCGTGATAAATGCTTAGTCTCCGCTGCTGCCTTCAAGGCTCGTTCTCGGCCCACTGCTTTACTATCTTCAAGGTAGTGCGTGCTGTGGTGTGCGAACTTTTTACGCTTCCGCCGGCATCAGCAACGGTGGCTCTCTGCGTGGTACACCTGCCTGCGACATGCTGTACCTCCAGAAATGAAAGAGAGAGACTCACGCGTGCCGCTGACAGCATCCGTCAAATGCACAGTTCGCTGTATCGGTGCCCACATCGGCAAATCCTGCCTGGCGAGCGCTCGACTATCGTGTCAAAGACGCCGGTATAAGCATTGCCTGTATAAGCGTCAATATCCAGTTCACGCCGAATACAGCTAGTCAATCCTCGCCCGTAGGCTGGCAATACACGCGAGAAACAGATTCAGTACAACAGAGAAAACAGGAGATGATCGCGAGTGCAAGAAAGGTATTATGCTTGGAAGAAACAATGGAAACAACTAAAAAATAGGTAAATCTCTAGAAAAGTCAGAGAATAAGTATATTCGAGGTGCGAAGTTGTCCTGCTCTACTGCCGTTCGTGATTTATTGACATTTCACGAGACGTTAGCGACCCTACTGATGTGTTAGACGTAATTTATCTGTTGAGCTAAAAGCCGCGCAGGTTCAGCTTCCGCTACATTTAATCTTCACCAATCCGATCGCAAAGCAGAGCTCTATAGCACATGCCGTTAATTCTCTTAGCCAGTTAAGGACTACACCACTAAACATTGCAACACGCGCGGCAAGGGGGAAGATCTGAAATTGGCTTTTTTCTGACAGTCGTGATCGAGACATATGACTCCAGAAATTCGATTACGGTAGGGTCGCGGTTTCGCCCTAAGTCCATAGCAACGTCCAAAATACGCTCATATCTCCCCTCAATGGCTCGTGACGCGACGAAGGTCTCAATTTCAAAAAGCAAGTATGCCCTAAGCTTTTTCACCAAACACGGACTTTCTACATTGCACATTAAGGCACACACGACACGCCAGTCTAACACAGACCTAGTTTACGACGTCTCCAATGTTTCCCACTGAAACCAAGATAAGGAAGACAAATGACATATACGGATTAACTCTGCTGGCTTTAAAAAAGCCCGCTTTTTTTTTCCAGGATTTCTCTTGCGAACTGTTTTCAGTAATGGAGTGTCCCATCCATCTTCTTCTGAACCTACTAATTTCCTAATTACTCTATCAATAATTATTTTTTTCATACCGATTAGGATACTGATTGATCTCATCCTCTTCCTAGTCGTTGAGTATGAACGCGCTCCACGCCCAGAACAGCTAAACGAGCGAAATGAACAGGGCAACGTATATGCTGTTTTACATGTATTGAGAACTTAAAAAGAGAAAACAAGCTCATCGCGATCTCTTCATACTTCTTCTCACCGCTGAGCATATTCTGAATTCTCAATTCTAAATCCTCTATTGTAAACTTAAGTACGCTGGCGTCATTCTGAATCATCAGTGGGAAATTCTGCTGGGTCTTCCAATTCTAGTTATAATTGCTTCACTGAGCTTACATCACTACAGCGCCGATTTTGCAAACTGGCACAACGACGACAATGTAACACGAACCAATACGGACGAAGGACATCTGACACACTAGCAGGATACAATACATTCTTAAAACAAATCAATAGAGAGCGCTCAAACTCCTCCTAAGAGGTGCGTGTGAGATATAATTAGAAACAGGCTTTAGAAGAGCTGCCAGGATAATCTGTAGACCCTGTGAACACTCGAGCTCAAAGAATAGGAAGGAACATCCGTTTACATAAAAGAACAAGAGCGGTACATATGTGAGTAATCGGTCTGACAAAGCTCATCCCAGAATTCCCTTCCCTCCAACTGTCTCATGTATTGATTGCACACTCCAAAAATGTCTTCCCTCCCACCCCCATGTGTTGCCCTAATGTCCTGGAGAAACCATGCTTTGAAAACAGCTTGGCCCAGACCCCTCGAGCGACCCCAACGACATGACGCATGCGTTCAAAATATAGAGTGGGATAGCCCTCACATAACGAAATAAGAGAAACTAAACAATGTTCTTCGAGTACAAGAATGTTAGCTAGCTCAGCACATATGAACAATCCTGAGCGTACTTAGCAACTCTACGTAACCAATCCCTGCGTGAACTGCAATTTACCCCCTGAGGTGAACGGAGTGTGCATATCTAGAACCGCCCCATACTTGCAATGCTTACCGGTCAGCTTTTGTGCTTATACACTAGCACTACTGCAGATCTCTACCTAAGGTCCTATGCGTACACGTGTATCATCTTACCAACCCATCGGCAATTGTTCAAGAAATTCCATTTAGGACCGACACAAATGCTATATACTGAAGCGGCTCCATATTCGTCACGTTTTTCTCGATAAGCGTCTGGGGGAGAGCACTTCCAACTGACTGATGCATTGCGTTAATCGTCTACTCTTAGCATTAAAGCGCACAAAGCGTCGAAGAGATAGAACTAAACCAGTCAAGGGGGATATTCCAGCATTGAATCCCGGCCCCTCATCCATTCGAATGGCTTACGAGAGCGCGCTCATGCGAATGCTTAGACCGCACACGCATAGATAATGTGCCTGAGCCCATAGTGTCGAGCCACCCGGTTTAACCTACTTACACAAGCAGTATTGGGCGTTGTATAGATGATCGAAGTCTGATCTTTGCGGATATGCGGACCAGAAATCCGCCTTGCGCTTGTTGTTAATTCAGGGGAACCATAAGAATAGAGCTCCCAATCGTCTCAAAATTCGCGGTGAGCAACTTTAGAGCTTCGTCGTATGTCTACTTAGGCAGGATGTCATACGACAATATGCTGCTCTATGTTCAATGAGGTGGTTGCGTGTGCCTGTTGTGTTTCCTGACGCGATCTAAGTTATTATTATGTTCATAAGGTTTGCCCATCTAATATGATACCTTCAATTTTGATGCAAATCGAGTGGAGCGACTTCTTCAGGATTGCCATGAGAAATTAGGTACGCACATAAAATGTAAAACTGCGTACACTGGTAATATTGCCGTGACCACACAGGATGTAACTAAAGTTTAAGCCATTAATTCACGCGGCTGGACGATCATCGTAGCCCTCCTATCTAACATAGTAATTCTGCGTTCTTAAGATCTGAATGTGTGCAGAGCAGAATAACTCTCACCCGTCCCGGCGCTCCCTCAGTTTTATTCACGTTTTTGTTGTATGTTTTCAAAATTATTTCAGTTGAAGTAGACAAGCCAAGCAGTTTCTGAATAGTGTTTATGCTTATCTGGTATCAGTGTTACATTTTGATAATGGTAGTAACATGCAATTCAAACTTAACCCTAAGGTTCTGACAATTAGAGTCTGATTCCCTGCAAAGTTTCTTTCGCAGATCAGCTAATCAGCTGTGTGTGTGAGCTGCCGTTTGTTTCTCTGGACGTTTATCTCCTAATACAGACATGTTGTCTCGAAATCTCACGCTGCCTCGCTTGGCTGTTCGTACATTGAAAACATCAGCACCGGTGGCCAGTGGGCATCACATCGAGCACTGGTGGGGTCCTGAGAAGGCAGCTGGACGTGAACTCGTCGGATTTGGTGTCTCAGGGGATAACGTGAGTTTGCAAATATTTCTGCCTGCTATAGGTGCTATACAAGTAGGGTGGGCACGCCGCATTTTTTGAACAGAAATGTATGTAAGTGGGACTGCTGCCCGCTACTATACTGTCACGAGAATCGGGAATTCGTGAGCCAGGGGGAGTGTAGCCAATCTAGGGGGGGGGGTGAGGGCAGTCACTTGACATGCGTGAAAAGCTGGGCGTGCCCACCCCACTTGTATAGCACCCTGCTATATTGAAAGCTTCCTGGCAATTGGTCTGTAGTTTTCTATTTCTAGGTTTATTCGGATCGCTTGGATTATTGGTATCCGGCAATCAGGTTCCGTAAAGAGGATGATATAATCGCGCCAATCAGGAAGAAGGAACTTGGTGACTGGAAGAATCTCACCCTTGAGGACAAGAAGCTCTGTGAGTTGTTTGAGGCTTTTGACTCTTCTATAAATCATTTGACTTCCTTTCTCTTTAACTTGGTTTGATTGAGCGGTTCTTTCAAGTAGGTTTTATGTTTTAGTTAGTTCTCGGTGAGGTAAAGCAAGCAAACCCTTTAACCTGATTTTTTTGTTTCTCAGATTTCGAAAACCGTCAAAAGTAGGTGTGGGGTGAGAGGTGCGCCATTTTGGACCCTTTCTAGAGCTTCATGGGTGTGATTCACTTGATAGGGCAGAAAGCGACTTTTCCGCTTTTCGCATGCGAAACTTCGTTATAAGAACCTCGGGACCAGCCATGATCAGCGTTGGAGCTGAGGTTCCCACAACTTTTCGCTCGCAAAAAGCGAAAAAGCTGCTTTCTGTCCCAGGGCCGTAAGGTATGCTTCCCCGAATAGTTGGGGGACGAAAATCCCTGCAAATTTGTCATTTTCAGTGCATGTTTACTTTAACCTACACACACATATTAAATGTAGGCCCTTTATCCCCCATTGGGAAGACATGAGAAAATTTAAGGATTTCTACACTCAACCTTCGGGGAAGCGCCTACATACCTTATGGCCCCTATGTGAACCACACCCGAAATCATCTCCGCTGCGAGAATCGAAGGTTGTTCGTTTCTTATCGCGAATTGCAATCTCTCCACCACACCCATTACTAATGGCAGCAACTTTTTGGAAGATGGAATGACGTGATTTCTCAAATTGTAGTTGCCCATCATTAACTTTGTGGTTTTACATTTGCTTTTTCCTCTCAACATTCAATAATTGTACGATCTGTAGCCAAAAACCTGCGACTACCATAGAGAAAAGCGCAGCGCGAAAAGAGCGCAGAGAACACTGTTTCTTTCCAGCGTATTTCGTTCTAGTCAGATCGCTTTCGAAGAAGTTTTCTAACGAAACCTGGTTCAGTTTCGGTACCTTATTTATTGTACCGCTTCTCGTATTCACGAAACCTTTGCAGTGTCTCTCTCTACTATTTATTCAACCGAGAAGTAGTTATATTTATAATTCCTAACGATATTGAAACAAGAAACTTTCTGAATCAGTGAAATAACAATATTCGTTTATGACCAAGATTCCTGTTTCTCTTCCCCAATCAAACTCGATGTTTTATATTATTACTTCACCTAACGAAAAGCAGAGATACTTTTCTGGAAGCGTGAACCATTTCAACTCCTTTTTCACACGGCACCGATTGCTTACGGTTCCTGCGGAAACTGAATACAATTCATATCACGTTCAATAGTTCACACTTCAAGACTCAGGGTGGTAGGGGACAATCTTCTTCTTCTTCTTCACATCGGAGGCCGGCGCAATCTTGGAGTCTTTGTTTTTTTTTTGTCAGGTGTCCGCCCCTTGGTTCGTTAGGACGTCTTGTGCCGTGGCCATGACTTCCCTTAGGTCTTTGATTACGCCTCTCCACCCCTTCGTTGGGGCTCTTTCGCTCGCTTGTCTTCCACTTCAGCTTCCATTGCTTTCCTTATCAAAAGATCCTGTGGCATCCTTAGCATGTGGTGCATACCATCTAAGCGCTGTACCCGCATCTTCATTGGGCAGAGGGTGCTTTCATGACTGCTGCTGACACTCTTCCTGAACCGGAGACCGATCGGATGCCAGCCATGCTCAAGATATTCCAATATGTATTTGATCGGCAGATTAGGAGCTTATGAAGATTAGGATAGTGGAAAAGTAGGATATTCCGCTGAAATAGGTGATATGTATCAATTGAGTCGCTGGAGAGTAGTAGATCAACAAATTTAGGATAGCAGGAGTTCCGTCGGTTAGTATAGTAGGTTATGATTGCGCAATGATTATATATGTATTGATCGATTCGACTGAAGACGCCTAATCTGCTCTAATCTGCCCAGCTTTTTTTCCTAATCATTACATATCTGACCTCCAGCATTAAATTCTGATATCCTACCATCCTGGTATGCTAATTTCCGATGTCATGGACTGTAAACGCGGCCTTATCTCCGTATTCGTGAACTAAGAGCGCGGTCTCAGGCGGCAAAGATTATTACGACATGTGCCCTTTTACTGGAAAAGCGCCACGTTTTTTTATATCACCTTTATTATTTTCATTTCCTATATTGTATACTTGCAGTGTATCGCTACAGTTTCAAGCAGACACTGGCCGAGTTTGAGGCTCCAAGCGGCTACTGGAAGGTAGGACAGTGAGATTTTATTCTCTTTGTACATTTTACTCAATTCATGTTCGTGTTTTTTTCCTCCTCTGTACTTTTACCGAAAATCTTATGCTTTGCACAGGTCATCGTCTCTGGTTTCCTCTTTGTCGTCTCCCTTGCAACATTCTACAGCGTCTTCTTGAATTGCTACGGTATAATGGATAAAGATTTCACCCTTGTACCCTTTATTCTGTTTTACTACTAATTTTTTCCAGTCTTCCCTGAGATCCCACCCACGTTCCAGAATGAATATAAGGAAGCACAGGTCAAGAGGGCGCTTGTTCTCGAAAAGGTATGTGCCATGTCGTGCTATTGCACTTATTTTCATTATGCCTTGTTAAGAAACGTCTTAACTCACTGTTTTTTAGGGCAAATTCTTGGGTGCACCCAAATACTATGATTACGAAAACAACAAGTGGAAGTAAATATGTATATTAGAGGTTCGTTTCTTTATTCTGTTTTTTTTAATATTCTTTAGGAGCTGCATAGATTTTTACTGATTAAAGTGCGTACTTTTCATATCATCACCACTTATTAAACTGCGGTGCAGAGACGTTTTTTGTTTTTCTTTTCGAACATTTCTCCAATAACTGTTAGATGACGTTCATAGTTTGCGACTTCGGAGATTAGGATAGTAGACAATAGGATATCAGAGCAGTAGTATAGGGTCATAGTAGAGATGGATGGATAATTTTCACAAGAATGCTGGGTTGTGAACAAAACTTTCGCCCCAGGCGGGACTAGAACCCGCACCTCTCGCTTTCCGGGCAAGTGCGCTACCAGTTACGCTACCGGGGCACCATTTCATTCCAACTCAGCTTTTCATGGTATACGTACCATAGCTTTCAGCACTCACACGTCTAACGTGTTGAGCCGGTTAGCCGATATCGGCAATGACCGCGAGGCTGAAAGCTTTAGCAATGAATTTTGACTTGTTTTGTTTGTTAACTGCTGTTTTAACGCCGCAGTTCGCGTTGCGAATGTTTCACAAGAATGCTGGGTTGTGAACAAAACTTTCGCCCCAGGCGGGACTAGAACCCGCACCTCTCGCTTTCCGGGCAAGTGCGCGTTAAAACAGCAGTTAACAAACAAACAAAACAAGTCAAAATTCATTGCTAAAGCTTTCAGCCTCGCGGTCATTGCCGATATCGGCTAACCGGCTCAACACGTTAGACGTGTGAGTGCTGAAAGCTATGGTACGTATACCATGAAAAGCTGAGTTGGAATGAAATGGTGCCCCGGTAGCGTAACTGGTAGCGCACTTGCCCGGAAAGCGAGAGGTGCGGGTTCTAGTCCCGCCTGGGGCGAAAGTTTTGTTCACAACCCAGCATTCTTGTGAAACATTCGCAACGCGAACTGCGGCGTTAAAACAGTTAAACAACAAACAAAACTATCGATAGATACGATATCCGCTGGAATATCGCTGAAGAGTTTTGATCGGGCGTTTTCAAGCGAATCGATCAATGCATATCAAATTTTGTTAGCGCGCTATTCTAAACTACTCCTGTCCTAATCTCGCACTCCAGTGCCATCCTACTATCGTGATGTACTGCTCTTCGGCGACTTAGATCGATACCTATCCATTCTGTCAGCGCACCTTCCTACTCTCCAACTCTGCTCCTTACTGTTCTAATCTCGCTGTCAATCACGTATCTCCTTCATTGGTCGACGGACTACTTGCACTCGGCCCTTTAAGCTGCCTCACTCGACGCTTTCGTCTGCGCTCTCTCACCTTATCAGCGGCTCATCACCACTGCGATCTCACACATTCAAACTTTTGCCACAATGCAATTGGCTCACCCACCTCGGATTCCCTCCCCCTTACAAGGCTTAGTCCTAAGGCTCTCACCTCCCTCCTTGGGATTTGGAGCCGAGCCAGGCGCCATTCTCTGATCGTCTGTGCTCTCCGCCATTCGTGGCAGGACCATAGACGAAAGTGCAAGTAGTCCATAAACGAAAGTAGGCGAGTATCCGATAACGTATCTGCCTTCATTGTCGCCTACTATCCCAATCCCCGATGTCGGGAACTATGAACGTGGCCTCAGGGGAACAATGGAAATTTGGGAGAAAACTTCCTTATCTTACAAGTTCAATTTCAGCTAGCTTCGTCGCGCTTCATTCTCTCTCTGCGGTCGGATCAGTTCCTACTCTTTCATTTTAGCCGTAGATGGGTTATTGTCTCATTTGCTCTGGTCTGACTTCTAGAGAGAAGCACGCGTATAAATGGTTATTACTGTTGTTTTGTTGTGGTTGTTGTTGTCACAGTTCATTGTGGTGTATGTCTGTATACCGTAAGCGCTAAGACTCAATGCACAATGACGGTACAAAGTTCAAAAACTCTCCATTTCTGATCTAGCGCGCGTAAATGCCCGCGTCTTTGCAACCCCTCCCCCTTAACAATGATCCCAACACGACCCCCTTTCACTCTCCATATCCCGTTTTATAGTTGAAAAATGTTAGCTCTATATGCACGAGAGGAACGCATCGCCGCTGTCACGTGAAAGCTCCGCGGTTCAAAGCCTGAACCCAACTTTACCCAGCCTGGCTTCTCCTTCTGTCCTTTCAGGCCCATTTGGTCCCCGCCACATTGGACGGGAAGTTGAAAAGGGAAGGAGGTGCTTCCTACAGGACTGGACAGTCTCCAGTGTAGCGGCACTAACTGTCCCGGTCGCCTCGCACGTGTCTCTAGATTGGGCGCATCAGTTGAAAAAACGCCAAATGTGCCCCCGGTCTGATGGACTATAAGTTCTCCAGTAACAGACAGTCAGGAAAGGAAGGCAGGTTCTGCTTGCGGCACTACTGTTTCTAAACTTGTCGTTTTCTTTTTTCGACGGAATACTATCCTTTTTATAATTGACTAATCTGTTTGCGAAATCTAAATAAATTCATTGTAGGAAGATTTAAACTTGTGTGAAAGGTGGCTGCATTGTTGTTTTGTTCTTTCTGTCGCGAGAACTGGGTGAGGGTCCACGCAGAATTTACTCCTAGGTCTATAGAAGTCCATTACTCCTTGTCGCAAGCAAATTCTTCAGAACTCCTGAAATTGCTTTCTTGATAAGTGCATTCACCCTCGATGAAGCGTTGAGATTCTTCATTTTCTGTATTCTTATCTATGTGCCATGCTAGTGAAGCTCCACTTGATTTATTTGTGAAAGATGTTTGTTCTACACTCCATACTTGCTTGCGCTAAACCAGATATTTTTTCCAGACGTGATTGATTTAGCGATGGACTATTAGAAAGCGCGGCAGTATAGTCCTGCATTATTCCTATTCACAGCCGCTTCTTTTCAACCGCGAGTGCCAATGAGTAACGTTTTGCGGCTGCAGCATGTGACGATGTCAAGAGCTGCTGCAAATCTTTCCGTTCTGAATTTTCTGCTCATATCCCACCCCTCCACTAAGTTCTCAGAGCGCGTTCAATAATATGGAGTATTACTTCTTTTATCATTTACTATTTGAGTACATTCCTTTTGCAAGTGTTTGTGTTGTTTGGCTGGAATGCAGTCTGCACAAAAATAAGCTTAACTGTCTATTGCAGACCTTCGCTCCAGATAGGACGCTCGGAGAATATATTGCAGGATAGGAAAGGCTTATGGCAGGCTGGTTGCATGAGTCGGCGGATCTGGTCGCGGCGAACTCCCCGACTTATTCTCGCAAACGGGATCACGGAATCACTAAGTACCCCTGATCTATACTGGCGAGGTGCTTTTCCAATCTCCGGCTGGGTCCATTTCTGCTTGATGGTGACCCATTGGCGATTACTGGTTTATTGATTCTATTACTTGTTTTCGTTGTTGTAGGTGTTCATAATGTTCAATACTGGGGGGCAACTTGCGATTGTTCGAGGACGTTTTTGACAGCTACCACCAGTAAATCGAATTGGTGAGGCAGGTGATGATAAGAAATGACACCACAGCTTTATCAACAGTTCTACCCACAGGTACGCTTTGACGTATTTTCATGATAACTTTTTCTATAAATTTAAGGCAAAGGTCGGGCTCAGGCACGCTAGAGGAGTAATTGCCGTGCCTGGAGGTTGTATGTGGGTAGCTGCACACATTCCAGCAACTTCCCCCTTATTGAGCCCGACTTTTGCCTTTAACAATCAATTCACTTCATTTTATTGTGTTAACTTAAAGGCAAATCATAATGAAAAGTTAGCTCAATAGAAATAAGGGTAGAGGTGGGCAGCGGGGCGGGGATAAAAGAGGAGACCATCTGAAACGGCCCGAAACTCAAGGAATGGTACCTTGTCCGTTAATTTGCGCATTGATGCGACTGTCATCGCTGTACCCTCTCAATACTACGCTCTCTCTGCCATCTAATCACTCGCCACGTATAGACCTGCAGCGGAGATTAAGATGGTCGGTGAGGCGTAACGCCTGCACCAACCGCGCCAAGAGTGAGCCATGCAAGATCGCCGAGGTCAAATGTTTCGCTGCCAATTGCGCGTCGGTCAACACACTCAGGAGTTCGCCCTGTCTGTCTCCTCAACTACGCTATTTTCCCCTTCTTTGACCTTCTTTCTTATCGTGAACTCCTTTGAACCTCCAACAGGTAAGAAATAGTAAGCAGCTACGGTATTAGAAACCATATGTATCAGCTCAATATGGTGGTCCGAACACAAAAATTACTTCTATTCGTGATAGCAGATGTATTCATTTGGCACGTTGCTTTTATGATCAAATACGAAGTATGCAATACTTTAAACATCACAATTAGTAGAAAGCAGGATAATAAAGAGTTTTGAATATTATGCGAATCCAGGAAGCCCACACTCTCCGTTTAGCCTCCCTCTTCTACTGATACACCACGAAAAAAAGCTCCAAGAGGCTCATCAGCAATTTGGGTAAGATCCACTTTGATAAACGGTTATCACAATGAAGCCAATCTGAAGAAACAATAAATAGCTATTCAATAACTTATTAATATACGACTATATACAACCACCTATAAGTGACAAGCATTCTGTACCACCTAAGTGACTGGGCCTGTAAAACCTAATAAAAAAGCATTCCTGTTAGTTTGTAAGTTGTCCTGTGCCTTGTGAGGTATTTAGGAGAAAGGTTTCTCCAAATAGCTTAACGTTTCCACTGAATCTTTGCAACCAATTTATGCTGAAGTGTAACAGCAGACTTTCGCTCATAGGATGAACGCGTCCACCTGCGGAGGCAATGATTCACTCAAAACATAGTCATTTGAAGAAATGTCCCTTCCACCCAACAACCCCAAAAGGCACGGTACCCGACAGGAGGCCCATCGCGCCGCAAGAAGGTAGAGACAGCGGACGAGTCGCAGTGTATGCTTTGCGATGTAGAACGTACAGGCGCTACAGGCGCTCTGTTTAGCCTGACGCTAACAGTGGGCGCTGCGACTCATCCGCTGTCTGTGCCTTCTTGCCGCGTGACGGGCCTCCTGTCTGGTACCCAAAAGGCATATAACGACGTACAAACATACAGCTAACATACCGAGTTGCGAGAATAGAGAAATTTGGTAATTACTGTTAGTTATTGAAAGGCACATTCCATGATCACCCTGGCTAGATTCAATCCCTTTTGTGAACAGGATCGAGCGATCCACAAGGGTGGAATAAGTGTTTCTCGTGGCTTCAACACATTGCGTACCGCGTGTGGCGCATGATTTCGTACTAAGGAACACCCTTTTTTGATTTATTTGGCATTTTTCAACGATCCCAAACTGTTTGCACACATTCTCAGAACCGGGAAACATTATGTGTCATCCTTGATAAAACTGTTGATGGATCAATGATTATTGAACAGAAAAAAATAAAAGATACAAGCACAACGGCGGTCCGCAATGTGTTAAAGCGCACGACACGGGCCAATGTGGCGGAATAGCTGGGTTTCGCTCGCCGCTTTGCTCTCTCGCCTGTTCCTCTCTTCTCAGCGCTCAGTGTCTCTTCGCCTTAACAGTGTCCAACTCACAAAAAAGAGGCTTCGATTTCAATGTTTTCAACATTTCTTTTTTTCACTACTGGCCTCTTCTACACCTCAGTTGATAGCAAAATAATTACATTTTTGGTCGTGGAATGTGCCCTCAAAGCATGATGAAATTAGTTCGAGAAGCAGACATAACTGGGGTTAGACTTTCAAATGGACTATTCGCGGCCGCGCTAGAATCATTCGAGCGTGTAAATGGCTTCAGCCCTCGAATGCGACCAACGAGTCCGCCGGACAAAGGCGTTGGTCGGCTTCCTTCAGCCACAAGGCAACTGTCTGATGCCGACACATGAATCTGAAAATGATCAAGTGCACCCCCAACAACTCCAAATCCCAACAAAAGAAACACTATTTGTAGCAACAATCTTATCGAAAGAATTCAATGACTAACCTGTGGAGGAACGATGGTTGCAGTGTTGGAGTTCATGTCATCGCGAAATTCCGCAACCGATTCACGTGCTGAGCAATCCGTGTCGACCAGCTCGAAATCGATCAAAGTTGGTTCAGGTTTCGTTGTGACGCGTCCACGCTCCTCGTCGACTGAATTACGGTTTAATGATAAGTCCAAAAGGTGACAAGCGCTATTGCAAGACGGAGGGGCATTCTGCCAGCGCTCTTGAAACTGCGGCTAACACCCTTGTCGTTGACGTTTAAAAAACTGATATTCACCTTGTTTCGAATGGGACATTGTCTCATCATTTGAAAAAAATTGGGCCCAAAATGAACCCGCAATGGATAGGTAATAGCGCGAAGAAGGAATTGTAAGCCAGCGAGATGAGGATTTCTTTTGTTAAAGGTAGATCTCGTGATGAGCTGATACTGTTGAAACGTGAAAGCAGAAGTATCATTGCGTTGATAGAAAAAAAGCCAGAAAAAGTGAAAACCCGAAAAGCTGGGCCTTCTTCTTCACCGTCAGTTTCACGTTTTGACGAATTTACCGCTAACGTAAAGATAGTTGTGGCGGAGATAAAGGTACGGACTCAATCAAATCCTAAAAGCAATTCTTCGAGAGGAGGTGGAGTCTCCAGCCCGAGAGTCGTGGCATGACGGTGACTCAAAAAAAGCGCAACAAAGGCGCTGAGGCCTCGCCTTGACCGCTGCATAAGATGCCGTTTTTACTCATTCACAGCATACAGTGGGTGCGTGCCCTCACGTTCGACATGCTCTCTAGCCTTTCCCCTCCTCACTCACTGTGTCGCTTTGCCGTACTACGGCCGACTCTTGAGAAAACGGGTCTTCTTCATTGGCAAAATTTTTCATTTTCTTTCAAGAAAGTCTTTTCGGAATTCATTTCTTTGCGTGATTAGAACCCTAACCTTCGTTAAGCAGCGTTTTGGGTACCTACACACAACTTATCGAGCGCTATGCACCCCAATATTCTCCATCTTGCGGTAGCGGCCAAAAATGGTGAAACCTTACCATAAGATCTGCTAGTTGGTATGGTTGCAGCAGCTTGTGGACGACGTACACGCATTTTGAATGCCGCGGCTACTGACGCCAGTGCTTTTCTAAATTTCTAGACTTGAAAGGCAGCTAAACAACTATTCAAAAAATTTGGAACTCAAAATAATTTCTAATAAGAACGACTATGATGAGTACACCCACTTAGCGGTATTGCTAGATCTTGGGAGAGAAAGTCGCTCAACCCGTTGGACAGGAATATCCTTCCCAATACACAAATTGATTCGTTTTTTTTTTTTTTTTTTTTTTTTTTTTTTTTTTTGACGCTGATCTTAAAGGAAAAATAATCTGCCATCCGATTAATATAAGTACGTGCAACTTCAAAGTCAACAATGTTAAGAATATTTAATTGTTTACAAAGTGCCAGACAAAACATGAACTCACCTGTTCAGCGATAGATTCCGTGTATTCAGCAGCCTCTTCTATAGATCTCAGTCGAATAGCGACATTGTTGAACAGACGAGTTCTCCCAGCCCGCCAGCCAGCTGTCTGCATGAGCATGCGTGTAGCTCTAAGTAAACCCGGAGCAGATCGAGATGAAACGGCCTATCTGAAAGGAAAACACTCTTGGTGATATCTTGAGCACCCATGATTCAACTCACCTCTATCGAAGTAACATCATCCAGCGGGACAATTCGAACATCCTCAAGTTTTTCAAAATCATCATTCGTAAACAGCAATGAACAACTTGTTTCTGGAAAAAGAGTCATGTTCATTTGTAGTTGCCAAAACGTAAGCGGGAGGAGGAGAAATGGTTAAAAAATTAATGCGGCAGAACACAAAATAATCACATTATCAACAAAAACTTAATACTACAATAACGATTCTCACACAATGACACCAACACTAAAACTCGAAACAGTAAGCTTTGATTATGACCAATGTCAGATATTGAAAAATCTTACACTTAGGCATTTTTAGAGCTATCTTGTCAAGAAAAACGACGCGTCTTACGACAAACAGACTAACCTTGTGAGAAGTAAGACTGTGTCGATCGCGTCCGCGTTCTGCTCTGAACTACACAAGGCCCAACCTCCTAGAAAACAGAAATTGCTGCTGCCCAGCTAAAATGGAGAAATTTAAAAAAAACACTAACCAACGACGACTTCTCCTTCCGGTAGAAGAAAATGTACAGTTTCGGCCACCAATCGACACACATTTTCATCTTCTTCCGAATCGGAGTCAGTGTCTGCCATAGATTCAGAACCTATGCACGAATGATATTAGTGGGTAAGTTATAATTATACAAGATATCTTCAAAGGAATATAGGAACCTTGATCTTTGTAGTCCAAGAGAGCATTTATTGCCTTCTGCCGACTAGAATCTCGAATATGGGAAAGATAATACCGAGATGCACTATTATACCCATCACGCATGATTCCAGCAAGTCGTCTTTCTCCACTCCTTGTCACATCTCCTTTCAAAGCCGCTGTCCCTGCATACTGCAACCGCGGAAATGACTTCACTACTATGAAAGTTGTACTGCTAACAAACCTGAGTAGATATAACGTCTCCGTTATCGGCCCACATATTCTGAAGAAGTGTGACTAGAGCCTCTGGCGGTTCACAAAGGGGACCGAACAGTCCCAGTCGCTGCGCTTGACGCATGCAGACCCACTGAGATATTGCTCCCTAGGTGTTCAAGCCAATTCATTCAAGTGGACAAATTTAAATCTCAAATTTAAATTGATGCTCACTTGTACGACATTCGTCCGATCAAGACAGTCCACGCAGTTGGTTCGCACGACACCTTTTTGAGTTTTAACTATTTCACCTAAATTGTTATCTAGCTTGGAAGCTGACTCCACTGTATGCTCGTAAAAGTGGAAGAACTCAAAAATACCTGTCTTGTCTACCCAACAATACCCTATTTGTGTGAGTAGTTCTTCCAGCTGACTAATAAGATCGTTGATCTGAATGCGATACAGAAATTGTGGCTATATTCTCCAATGTCCAGAGCACAACAAACTTTGTCAAATTTTAGGCCTCGGCAATGTCGATGAAGATCGAATGATACAAGGTATAGATCAGGACAATCCATCTTAGCAGCATGCTAAAAACAAAGAAAAATAAAATATAAACATATTTCAAGCATAAAAATATTTCACACTAAACATATGGCATAAAATTCAGTCAGAACATATGACTAACCCATGCATACCCTCGCATCAGAGTTGAATAAGGCTTCGAGAATGTTTTCTTGTATTTGGTTATAAGGGGTAATCAATACCCTGATTATGAAAAGCACTTGAACTTTTCTTGCCGCCAACTCCACAGGGCGCCGCCTCGACACTACACCTTTCGGAGAGTACCTGACCGCTTCACCCGACCACATTGGGCGCGCGAGGGGAGCTGATTGAAGCAACTTGATACAGGCTGAGCAAGTTCATATGACACTGTACAGCCACAAACAGGTGGGTAAGAGAATCCGCCCATCTAATATGCAAAGTTTGACCCAGCGGAAAGTTCTAAACCTGAAGATTGCCACCCCACGGCACCCGTCTGAAGTGGTGAAGCGCATGCGCGGGTGTCTAACCACAGCGGCACGCAATCTAACAGTAAACGAGTTCCTAACCCATAATTTCATATTGCGTAAAAACCTAAACCAACTCTCTCCGAGCTTGTAGCCAGCTGCGAGCTCCTCCCCCCAGCCCTCCGACTCGACCTCAGATTGACCTACCCAGAGCGCCCCGGCGCGCCATCTACCCTTGCTTGTCAGGAAACACACTTTTTGTACCGGTGCGCTTTCTCAGCTCTGAGACCCAGCGGTCTAAAACATATTTAGTAGTTAGATGCTAGTACGACGTAACATAACTCTACTACATCCATATCACAGTAACTTCTCGAGATTTCTATGGACAAGAGTGGGATACTTGAAGCCTTTTTTTCTCACTAGATAAACTAATATAACTCGAAAAATCTTATGCTCGCACACATAGATCTCATGAATTCTAGAGTAGATAAGAAGTGAGGACAAAGAATAGCGTCGAGAAAATCTGCAAGCAACCAAAGATACGTCAACTGCATGACATATATACAGAAAAGACAAGTGGTGACCAAAAATATCGAGAATCAATTCCGTTTCAACAAAGTTCGCCACATTAGACTCGCAGTCGATTCCCCTGATAGCAGTGATATTGAAAACAAGACAGACATCCATGGTATCAAGTAGCCCTATCAATTCCAACATGGAGGCCGCTGACATAGTTGGGGGGGGGGGCGAAATCGAGCGATCGCTAGGAGTCTTGCTAAGATCCCGCGCGATTCGCATTGCGAATCGCTAGATCCGAGCGTTGCGTCAGCGAATCGAACGTTGCGCCAGCGAATCGAACTAGGTACCAGCGACTCAATAGTGGCGGGCCCAAACGTTTAAAGGAAGCCCGCCACTTTCAAACAGTGTCCACTGCAAAGTCCCGCCACTTTCAAACAGCGTCCACTGTCACGTGACACTGTTTGAAAGTGGCGGGCTTCCTTTAAACGTTGGGTCCCGCCACTATTGAGTCGCTGGTACCTAGTTCGACTCGCTGGTACATCGTTCGACTCGCTGGCGCAAAGTTCGATTCGCTGGTGCAACGTTCGATTCGCTGGCGCAACGCTCGGATCTAGCGATTCGCTAGCGAATCGCTCGATTCGCAAACTATGACATCGCCTAAAGGATCAAAAGAAACGGAGAGAAAGTGCGAGTTTCATTTCTCAGCCATACTCGACATGCGCTTTCGTGTGTTATAGCGCATCTGCACGGAAAATTGGCCCTTACTAGATGGGCTAACGTTCCAGAAGCAAAAGTTTAACTACTGGTGCTAACCGAGGATTTCACAAAAATTGTCCAGGTGCAGTGTGAGGATGAAGATGACTGTTAGGAAAATATCTTTCACTTGGAAGACTTATATATGACTTTCAAAACTTACCTTCTCAAATATCTTACACCTGCGCGATGTACTGACCGCCGGGATATCAGAGTGATATTCAGTGAGGAAGGGATTTGAGGGTCATCTCCAACTGACAATGTGTCACATGATATACTCCCTTGCATAATTGGCACAATCCTAAATCATTAGCGCTAAGACACAACAAAAAACAACTACTGAACCATGTGGAAAATAATAAATACAAAGAAATTATGCAAAATTCCTACCATTTTCTTGCCAGATCTCTGTTGGCAGACTCATTCAGTAGATCTTTGAGCAACACTTTATTCCAAAAGAAACGTCCGTCAGGATCTGCACCAGGTGAAGAGAAGTTCCTGTAGAAAGTTGGAAGTTCGAAATCCTTATTTAAAATATCCGTTGATAAAGCTTGACCAGCGAAGAGTCGGTTAAATAGAGTCTTAACAGACCGTACCTATAAGTAGAGTGTGTGATATCTCTACCAAAACAGAAATAGAAGTCTGGGTGGTCGTTGAAAATCCGAAGCACCTCATCAAGCATAACAGCTGGCTTTGGAGTGTTTCCTAAATCAACTACAAACTGGTTTCAATATCTGGTGGACCAGATGAGGATGAAGAAAGAAAAAAACATGAACTGAAAAATTAAAAAATTAAAAGAAAAATGAAAAATTCAATGAAAATGAACAAGGTAACGTGCCTATTTTATCTTGCACAAATTTGAACAATTTTCCTGTGCCTTGCTTCAAGCGACGTGTGGCCATTTCGGAGGTTGAAACAGATGTCGCAGGATCGCCATCAGAGGTTACAGTGGAATTCAGAGGTATTGCTCTGACCCGATCAATCCGATAGACAGCATGTTTCTTCTAAAGTCGTTTCAAAATCATACCGATTATTTGGGTACTCTCATTTGATAACGAATACTAATGCACTGTTCGATGGTACTTCTTTGACTCACATCTGATTGGGTGAACTCCGCAACTCTCGTACTTTCACTAACGAAGAGCAAATAATTTACACCATCAATATCTATTCGTCCAATAACGGATATTATATCACACACTTCTTCGGCGTCCATAGGTATAACATCTGGAGGAATACGTAGAGATAAAATGGGGCGCATGGGCCAAGCATATTCGTAGACACCGAAAGGTCAGTTCGATTTAACTAGAAATCTCAAAAATGGATAAATATTGGCGACAATTTGAGACTGATTAATTTTATCAGTTATTTACTGAAAGTTCGAAAAAGATTAGTAATTAAGAAGAACTCAACCTATTCACATTACTACACAACCTTTACACACCAAAAACTGGCAATTTAACGTCAAGATATTCTGATTGCAAGGAAATTTTGAGCAATTCGTTCAGTGTATTTGAGTTCCATATGCGCAGTTAATCAATTCATCGAGGCAGTTTCTTCATTTTCTGGGAATCGAGAAATTTGGACGAGATATTTCAGATTTTGAAGCGCTCATTAACCCTTTGACGACCGCCGTTATGAATGCGTCACTTCACTTCTTTCTAAATTTTTTCATCAATAATCATTAACTCTCCAACAATTTCACTATTAGTAATTAGCGCATTATTCCGCGAATTCGATGATGTATTTGTGTAGTTTTGAAACATAAAAAATGCCAAAATAAACCCCTAAAACGTGTCGCCACCGAGCGAAAGTGTGGCCCACCGGCGGGCCACACGGTCGTCAAAGGGTTAAGTCTCCAAAAAAAGCAAAGGAATTGATGTACACGAAAAAAATTGTGAAGTGAAGAGCAAGAAGAAAACGATGTGTTACTGACCAGGTGTTGGATCCACAGATAGTCGGCCATCGATTTTGGAACAGATGAGGCGACACCCGTCATCTTCGACTACATATGCTGTGAGTGTAGAATACAGCTTCATCCCGGACCTGTCATCTATATCTGAAATTTGTCAACAAAATACTGAACTCTTGTACAAAATCCTGTACAGTAGAAGCAGTTGTATCGCGTCATTAACCTCTATCAACCTTCGCAATTGATGAAAATTAGGCTTACTGCCAAATAGAACAAAAGTGGTCCGATTGTGTCCTCAAACGAGGGATTCGGGCCTGCTTTTCATATTTTCTCATTACATGTGAACATAAAAATACAAGGGTGAAGTTCCAAGATTTGCAATGTAACACTGCAACATGGAAGAACAATCTCTACTGCAGAGTCTCATTAGTTCGTCTGGCTGATCGTGCTTATGAATATGCATGTGATGTTCTAGTCATGGAACCAGGGATCAACCGGAACGGGGTGTGGTTTCATTAGGACAGAAAGCGAATTTTTCGCGCTCCGCAGCGCGAAACATTTTTCATTGCGCGAAGCTCGAGTCCACCTCTGACCATCAGTGGACCCAAAGCTCCCGCAGCGAAAAATCAGTGGACCCGAGGTCCCTGCAGCGAAAAATGTTTCCACCTGCAGAGCGCGAAAAAGGTCGCTTCGGGTCCTGAATGAAACCAACCCCGATCACCGCTGAGACGACGAAGCGTGTGCACGCAAAGACGGCATGTTAAATAAGCCGCGTCAACAAATCGGAGATAATTTCAGCCTAAGCATGGGAGTAAGGAGCTTTGCGGTGAGTGAACCACTCCTAAACAACTAAGGGGAACCCCTCACAATAAAAGCAGTCACCGGCTTTGGAACTCGTTCGCCCCACAGAATCTTCATCGTGGCTTAACACTTTGGAGACCGCGCGTGTTTTACGTTCCGCGGCCGCGCGGGACTTCGGTGAAATTTTTAGGGATCTTATCTAGCAAATTCAAAAGAAGAACCCACTGTATAATGCAGAAGAAATCTTATCGGATAAAATGGAAAAGAAAATGAATGAAAAACCTAATAATTGTTTCCGAAATGCGAGCTGAAAGGTCCTATGCGGTCGGAGGCTGCAGCCCACATATGGGCTGCGTGGGCTCCAAGGTGTTAAATCGTGTCTGAGCCATTCTGCTTCAGCTGCCGTGTTAAAACTACTGCACCGAAGTACCAAACCTCAGCTAAATAGCGCGGTATCTCACACTTCTGTTCATTCTTTGAATATCAAATTGCCCGATCATATTCCTGCTTCAAATGAAGTACTATAACCTGTTCCTCTAAACGTTTACTCTTCTGGACAACACCCATACCGTTATAGCGCTGCAGTAAATGAGCGGCTTACTTCGGATTAGGTCTGCTGATGAAAAGAACGCGCAAGTATCCAATTGACGGTACATTTGCAAGTGGTTTGCAGCTCGAGTGGAGGGTCGGTCCTACGTTGCTACAAGTAGCAACGGGGGTCGTACTTTGATGAGTTTAGGGGGGGGTCGTATATTTTGATGAGTTTGTAGAGGGGGGGGTCGTATATTTTGATGAGGTTGTAGAGGGGGGGGGTCGTACTTGCTTCGATTGTGAGAAGTTGCATGAGGTGAGGGAGGAGTGGCGCGGGAGAAAATTTGCCGTTTCAGCGCGCGTATATACCCCCCTAGAAAATGAAGCGTGGGATTAAAGGTAGGAGGGGGTAAATTGGTGGGATTTAGGTAATTGTTACGGTTCAGATGACAAATACCGATTATGAAAATCATGAATATGAAATAAAAATAAATAATATGAAATGAAATACCAGATATGAAATACTATAGCGAGGAATATGGTGGTCGAGGGTCGAGAAGGGGGTCGTACCAAATCCACCTTTGGGGAGGGGGGTCGTAAAAATTTTTCGAAAAGTAGCAACGATAGGACCGACCCTGCTTCCAGGTGTGTTAAACAGATACGCTCATCGACTGTACGACCGCTGCTTTGTGCAGTTCGACACGAATTACACAATCGAACTAACAAAGTGCAAGACAGCTGCAAAACATAACCGTTCCTTTCGATCAAAATTAGTGCGCCCCGTTGACGATTTTCAGTTAAATGCAATACCATTACCTAGCGACGCACTTAGAGTCATAAAGGCATTTTTGGGTGCCCTTTCCTCCCCTACCCAACCAGGACCAAACTCGAACATACGATCTTAGATGAAGTTGCTTACGCATCACATAATCTTTACAGTGCGAAAGCCCTCACAATACTAAAACAGCAATCAAGCAGCAAACAGCAAGACACTCGTTGAATACAAAACACGTAGTGAACGTCTACCACATACTCATGAAGAACGTTGCACATCTTACTGATTTCAGGTACAAAAAAACTGATCAAAAAGATGATTAGAACTCATCAGTAAGCTCGACCAACCATGAACTCAATACACCTTATCACTGCTCCGATAAGCCTTACATTAACTGGTTAACATCTTCGTATCAAGCATGATTTCCGCTGACCTTTGAAAACGAACAAACAATACCCAAAATACAGAAATTCCCTTCCAAACACGGATATTCAGAGGAAATCTCCAACACTACTTTTCATTCATATTCCTATACCTATACTTACTAGACACGCTTGAAAAATGAGGTGGTGGTTCTAGCTCTTCCAAAATAACTGAATAAAGTGACACCAAAAAAAGTTTAACTGAAAACTACTGTACGCATTCTTCGCGATACAGTACAATGTGGATAAACCTTCACTGGACGTGTGAGTGTTGAGACAATTAAAAACAACAATTTATTTATAACAAGAACAAATTTACTCTTCACTGTCAACATTCACGTTCGTTAGGTTTTTGAAGTTGGTGCACGGAACGTAGGTGCACAGGGTGTAGAGCTTGTGCACGGAATCCTCATCCTCATTGCGACGTCGTGACAAGCGGACACGCACACGGAAAGGCACATTCCTGAAACCATCATTAGGTATAAAGACGCCCATACAATGTAATGATCCCGGAACAAGAAAATAAAAACTCGCTAATCTAAGCTTATTTCACGTATAAATGGTCAAAAAAATATTGAAAAAGGTTGACATTCGAATTTGGAGTTACAAAGGCGTACAAAACTGTCAGGAGCAATGCAAACGTAAATGCTATCACCCTCGTCAAACATCGCTCCGATCGTCATACTTGTTTGCCCTTACTGCGTCAAACGATTAACGAAAATACACGGATATTGATACACGCTTTTACGGCAGCCGTGTGTCACAACATCCACCCATATGCTAAGCGGAGTGGCATTTCATGTAAGCCTTGAATTCCGAAACCGAGGGCAGCGTGTCATTAAGATCATTATTTTGAAGGAGTTATGCTTTTGCATTCGGTAGTTTGCGTTGAAGCTTGACTGAATGTCCGACTCTGCTTTTACAGACAACCAGCTTTTCAGCTACCTCCAGCGCCGCCTAAGGGGCCTGTTTGACAAATTGCCCGAGCGTAGGCGTTCAGTGGTAGGCGGAACGGTACCGCTGACCTCCAGGTCGGTTATTATTTATAACCCGAAGGAGTATAGCATAAAAGCCCTAGTTACGCAAAGTGAGCTGATTCATGAGAAATGGACACATATTTGTTTAGTGAGAGAGTGCCATATTGGGGCAATAGCTTTTGCAGACAACGATAATTCCAACTTTACTACAAAAGGGCCCTATGGAGTTTCGAGATGCGACGAATTTCACTTATACACTTATTCCATTTTCAATGTTGCACGGTTTTCGGTAGAATAGTGTAAGGTATCGAAATACTCTAGTGACTGCTCAACAAACATCGAATATGAAGTTGTTTGAAAAGGAAGTGCTTGTAGACTATGATGTCCACCACTTCCGAATTGCCCAACGTGAAATGAGGAAAACAGTGGGAGCTTAAACAAAAAAAAACTGTTCGTTGTATGCGTTACCTCGAAGTCGTTGCAGGCAAAAGACTACACGATTGCAGTAGAATCTTCTGTCTGTTTGTGGGAAGGTTGCACACGATTTTCGGAAAATTTACCTTACTACAAAGTCGCTTTGTAAGCCTTTCCATTGTTTGCAGTGGACTAACCTTTACAATGTAGCAGAAAGATAAAGTATTTCGCGGAAATGAAAACCAAGCATGAATTTCGCAAAAGTCTGCGACGAGGATCAGAACGCTTACAGTAGAACTAATTAAATACTTCCTGCTCTCGTTGGGTAAATTTACAAGGGAACCCAAGTATCAATAGTGAAGAAGCAGCGATAAACTCCAAATAAGGGTCCAAATATCGAATGCTATAATATGTTCAGTTGACTCCCCTTCTTCAACAGATTATGGTGGAACTGCGAGAGTTGAACCACGATCAACATTTTGAATCGGGACTAGCCATTATTCCAAGGTGAAGAGGGGACGATGAAGTTCCAATCAGCTTTGCCGTGATATTCTTCAAACAACCTTGAATTAAGAAGACTGGATAGAATCTAAGCATGAATGACCAATAAGAGGACGGACAAAAAGGCCAAGATAGGCTTAAATATGTCAATGCGGCATCATTTAACTCCACTATTTGAGCTAATCCTCGCATTGAGAAAAAATATGAGGATAGAGATCAACAGACAGAAACCCAGAACGTTTGCCATTTTTGAGAAATTGCCACAATATCTTCCGACTATTCAAAAAAAACATCAAGAGAGCATGACCAAAATCTGGATTTTGAAGTAAACAGGCAATTATAAAAATAAAAAAAATGAGCATGATAGACAGAACAACTTTAAAAATACGAATTCTTGGTTTCAATAACGAAGATAAAGACGCTCCTAACTCCAAAGCTCAAAGCAGGATAGGACTAGTTGCAATAAATTGGGTTATTTCCGAAATTATACGCTAAAGTTTGCCTGAGCAACAAACAACCATCATTCTTTCAGGCTTTTTCTGGTATGGTCGGCAACTCTCATACTATCCTTTTCCCGTTCCTGAGGTAGTATCTAATCCTTCCCCCAGGCTAGAGGAAGAAAAGATCCTCTTAGATCTATAGATGTTCAACGACACAGTTTTCTGACTCATCCATGTTTAATTTTACACACATAACACATTTCAACTGGCCAATTTTGAGACGATTCTAATTGGAAAGATGAAGAAAATTTTAAGAGATCTTCTCTTCCCCTATCCAGGGGGAAGGGTCGGGTGCGGCCCCTTGGTGAAATTTTACAAATCGCGGTGACTTAGCGTGGGCATGAAAGCTTCAAAGTGACCGACCGGCTCACACTGATACGAATCCTCGCCCATTTTCCTATGTGGTTAGGAACAGCAATGCTAGAGGAAAATATACCCAAAAAGGCAGGTGTAAATAAATAAAACTCTAACAAATCACAAGGACTTACTTGATTCCCTTTGACCAAACAAACTTGTTCAATCTCGTGTCGATACGAACGTCTTCTGTGTTCATTTGCTGTTTGGCGAACTTGTCGAATTTCATCTATGGCCACAGCGTGACGATTCTTTAGACCTGCTTAATGAACCGTTAGTGGGAATTCGCTTCGGTTTCAGTTCATGGATAGGAGAGTATAAACACTTACACGCCTTTTATTCTCTTGTGCATATGTATGGTGTACTCACGAGTGACAACCTCGTTGATAGCGTTGCGAGCCTTTCGGTCTTGCTTGGCCTTCACCATTTTACCTAAACGTAAGACTAAAAAACGAGCAAAAGCATTAAAGACGTAGGCAAATCGACAAGTATAAAATACTTGATGACAACAAAATTCTCGGAAAAACCTCTTTGGAAATAGCACCTGATAATCAACTCGAAACGAGAAACATCTGTGCGATTCTAATAAATGAATACCGATTTTAACATTAGCTGTAAAGCACACGCAAGCACCACTTCTTTTACAAGAATTTGCAGAAAATAAAGGATACCTAGATACCGACTTGCTCCATCATTTTTAAACTTTAACCGATTTTTAAAGTAAAATTCAAAAAGAATTAAAGAAATCCGCCACATCCCATTTGTAGAAACGAATACTCAGCCAAGGTCGTTTAGCTGCGTAATCTGCTCAGGACCCGCAAGACACGTCCCTTGAAAGTGCACGGTTCCGCTATTGCGTACAACCGTCTGCCACCGTGTTACCTTTCCTTTGCATCAAAGGAATTCTCGTACGATCCAAAGATGTTGAATATTTCCGGTAGGATTTGCTGCCTTATTCATTTTCTGCAAACCTTTTGACGGTGGATCAAGCTGTTGGGGCTTGGCGAAGTTCTTTGTTCAATTGTTGCTGCAAATCCACTTGTCTCGCCAAGAAGGGTGCATTCATAGCCGGTCGTCCGGTCGTAACGTTCGCCACGATTGCACAGTTTTATATAAGTACTGATCGCCCAATTCTTGGACACGTCTGGAGATCGATACGCATCCAATCTGTATGGTCGCAGCGATCGTTTCGATCGGACGACCGACTATGAATGCGTCTGAAGCGCTGGATAGACTATAAGCGCAGTGTGTCAGAAGTTGTATTGTGAATTTGGGATGTTGTTCATTCATAACTTGAATTTCCAGGAATGGAGTCTCGCTCAAAGTTTGCTTGCCTTAATATTGACGATGATTCTGATGAGGAGTTCACCAGAGTAACCAACAACAAGGCTGCATCGAAGAAAGGTGGACAGAATGGGTTCGTGAACATTCGGACCATTGAAGTTTATTTTGCCGGCCTCTAAGTTGAATGCGACATACAATCGTTATTCTTTAAGAATGGGCGGTCCGAAGGTGAAAAATGGTGGCAAACTCGTGGTTCATGCTATAGAGAAGAGGCCAAAACCGAAGAAGAGCAATAAGGACAAAGTGAGAAGCTTTTTTTGCTGGGTTGAGTAAAGTTTTCTTTTATTGATTTAGGTTGTCGATCCAACTACTGGATTAGTTGTGCAAGGAGTCGACGAGAGTTACGCTTCAGAGCAGAAATATCGCGAGGTTAGCGTGAAATGGTTTGGCACAAGAAATACATTGAAAAGGGAATTAACTAGCACT